TTTCAATGCTGTCTGAGCGCTTCTCTACACTTGACAGTGCATAAATGCTCTGACTTTTGTCATTTTCTAAATTATGGCCACACTCTTTGCTTGCCTCGGAAATGCATGTCTTTTCCATCTTATCAGCTGCCGCACCCTTGCCCTCTCCCTCAGAGGAAGTGTCTCCATGCTGGGCTTTCTTCATGTTATTTCCAGGGAATAGTTGTCCTTTGCAGGAGATGAGGCCCTATGATTATTTTCCATCATCACTGAGATTGCCTGGCAGAGGACTTGACATGCAATTAGTTGTCTTGTGACAAGCTCTTCTTATTGATGCTGAAATGCCTGTCAAGAAATGTTACACAAATTGATTGAATCAATTGGCCCCAGAGTGCATGTGAAAGTTATTCTGTTTAGCAGTGGGGGATGTCTAAGAAACAGAAATATGTATTTGCTAGAGGCTGCTCAGAGCAGACTGCCTTAACACGCTCACCTGCAGCAGCCAGGTCAAAGGTCACACACACTCCTCCAGGGAGAGTAACATGTGTGTTTGTAGGCTTGAGTTTTTACCATAGACATGGCAGAGCCATTAAAATAGATTATTAGATACCACTATAATTGGAACAATGGCAGACTAATAATTCAAAACATCTGTGCTTCTCTTCAGGTATAAACAAACTGTTTTGCTTGAAAATGGCAGCAGTTCATGATTTCACATGTTTTATAAGTCAAAATTGCTATAAAAAGAATATAAAAATTAAGTCAGGATAATGGGGCCATTTTCTGCAAGAGGAGAATAATGAGTAGGACCAAAGGCAAATGATGGCAGGGATTTGCCAAGAACAGTGGCAGAGAAAAGCCAAGGCAAAAATGTTCTTTTTCTGGTACAAGTGTGAAAAGAAAACACCACTTGACACTATTTGCCTGGAGGTGTGAGAGTGGTGACTTCTGTGACAACAAAAGTGAGGTTATTTAGTTAGGCTAGTGGCTCACAAATTTTACTATGATTATTTTAAGTCCATATGGTTTCAATCCATTCAGGGTTTTTTTCTTGAAGTAACTCTGTAGAAGGCGAGTGGAAACAAAAGGGGAACAGTGTGGTTTGGGAGTAATGGATGGGGATTAATCATCTGATTCCTTCATACCACTGTGGCATATGCTCTATGTATTGTCAATGGGGTTGTCATAGAAACAGCTGTAGAGTAAGGAAATCTTTCTTTCCTCTGCCCCCTCTCTCCGCCTCGTACCTTCAGATCTCTCCCTCCTTCTTCGCTCTGACTTGTACAGACATGGTTAGTGGAGTTTTGGGTGGGGAATATTCAGGTATGCATCAGCACATACACACACACACATATTTGCCCTGTGCGCTGCGGCTGGAGCAGTCTAGGGAACAATGAGTCTCAAAAAGAGACTTTCTTTCAAAAGGATGTGGAACTTCGGCTCTGTAAGTAAACTCCGGCCTGTTGGCCCAGTGTCTGAGGCGGGAGAGGCTTTTGTTCACTCAGCTGTTCTTCTCATTACTTCTTTGTCACTCGTCTTTTCCCACTCTCAGCAGCTGTTTGGACCTGGACCTGGATACTGCGTTTCCTGGACTTTGGGTTGTGAGAATGTTTGAGTCCTTCTCTTTTGCCTGTGTTCAGTTACAGTTTGTAGTGGATGTGATTCTTTGGAGCAGACACGTGTAAAAACAGACTGAAAAGCCAAAAAAGTTTTTTAAAAATAGGAAGTGGCCTTGAAAATGTGAATAGGTGACTGACATGAACATTGCGGTTTCCTCTGTTGACTTATTGCTGTAGCGATTGTTTTTGTGGGAAGGCCTTACATTGAGAGTGATGTCAGTGTGGTCCTCAAACTGTGGCGGCTGTATTAAGCCTGATTTACATGTTCCAACTTGACTTTGGATTTGCTTCATTTCCGAAACAGTAATAGTTGTTATTGTAAAGCTTTATGTAACAGATAAAAGCTGTGTTATTGTTTGGCTCATGTGGAGTAGCTGTTCCCCCTGTGGTGTCACCACAGGAGGTCTGTGTGGACGAGAGGTGACACTGTGACTCTGCTGCTCATTGTACAGTGATTCTGAGGAAGTCATTACAAGTTAGACAACAGGTTTGTGTGTGTGGTCGCAACTCATGAATACGACTGTGTGTTTGACCCAGTCCACTGACCAGGTACAGCCACCTAATGATGTCATTACACTGCATTGGTCCAATTGTAAAGGCAAGAAGTGGTGTGTTGCTCTTGTATTTCACACCATAAATGACCACGATTAAGAAATTTCCTTTTATTTTTTTTTCCCACTTTATGTTCACCTTTTGCACTGTGTGTGGGTATACAGTATTTGATATAAATTAAGTTATTTCATGTACAATCTTAAAACATCACTTATTATATTCTATTACAATGGTGGCAGATTGTGTTTAATTATTGCTAGTTACACAATAGCGTATGTGTCAACACCACTTCTAAGTAAGCTACATTTACTGACAGAACATTCCTTCTTTTGTTCATCATCATCTGTTGCGTAAGTCATCGCAATAGTATGTCACACAACTATATAAAATTAATAATATACTTAATGATACTTTAACAGACCATTTAAAGTCTGAAAAGCTCAACATAAAGCCGGTGTCACTGTCTACAACGTGCTGTCTGGGCTGTCAATACGCACCAGTGTGTTAGTGTTCTGTCTGTTTTTAGACCTGAAAAGACTGACGCGTAGACTACATCCCAGTCCTGGTGATTGTACACAGACAGGCCACCACAGAGGGCACAGGGCTGGTTGGCTGTCTTGATAATTACTATATCGACTTATCGTTCTATATATGGAAGCTGGAACCTTTTTTTGTCTTTTTTGAGCATTTAGAATGTTTATTGATCCACAAGAGAAATTATTTGGACACAGAACACATCACAGTATAATATAATAACATACAGAAAAAATATAAATGGTAATAACAAATAATATAGTAATACAAAAATATTTCTCAGCTATATACAAGCAGTTAGTGTCATAAAATAGTTTCAGTATTGCTGTTTATCGTCTATTTTCTTCAGCAATACATCGTACTTCAAAATTTGTTGTTGTGACAGGCTGACTATGTGGAGCTGGGAGAGTTGTGAAGAGGCCGGGATACACAGTTCTTGGTCAGTGTTTGATTCGGATTTACGTGTGGGGAGTCCCAACATGGAGCACAGGGGCAGGTCACGGGAGCGCATGACTCCAGGCACATCCTCAGACTGTAAAGGGAATACATTAACATAAAGGAAAACAACAAGTCTCAATGGTGTACTCTCTAGTCTAGTAGAAGTACCTCTAACGTAGACTTAGACAAACTTTATTGATCCACAAGGGAAATAATTTGGGCTCAGTAGCTCACACATCACAACAAAGAACAATAATATAAATGGTAATAATGAATTCTAAATAAGTAGCCAAAGAGACTGGTCAAACAGAGCTTAATAAGTAAAAATAGTATGCATATAAAGAAATAAAATGTATAGAAATATGGTAATACAGATATATCTCAGCTATACAAGAGCTTTTAAAGAGAAACAGTGTAAAGATGAACTAATGATTGACAGGACATAGGGTTATCTATTACATAAGGGTGAGTTGTTGTACAGTTGTAGGGAGTATGGTAACCTGTCATTCAATAAATGATAAATGGAAGAATATGTTTTTGGGCTCAATGTCGTCATGTTTTTGAGCAGCAATTCATCATAATTTGTTATCATGGCAACAGGCCTAAGTACACAACAAAATTATTGCTTTGGGAAAATGTAACGTTTATTTTTGCAATATTATTGTGTACCAAAAAAGAAAGAAGAAATATGTTACTGAATAAAAGATAAATAAATAATAAGCTCATCCTTAACTTTGAATTAATTTGAACTGACATGACTTTTGATGGATTTGGATTAGACTTGTCGTTCATTCCTCTGAAAGGATTAAGAAGTCAGTATTGTTTTTATGTGAAAGCCTTTTATAAACTTATTTAATACTTGTGACATTGAAGGTTCATTTGTCCAGGCTTGTTCTTTGGGTAATTAATGGTGAATAAATACTTCTTGGCACAGCGCGCTACAACTGAAAGCACAGAAAATATTGTTATCCTTTGGTTTTTAACATTCGTCACAATATCAAAATTGAAACATCTTTTATTCATGTTTTGAAAAGCAAAGCAAAAATAAAACCATCTTCTTAAAATAATCAGCTCTTTTCAAATAAATCCTCCAAGGCAGTGATTTTCAAGTGTTTGTGAACCAATTCTCATTTCCATTTAATTCTATTCATTGGAAGCTTTAGATCTCCCCTGGTAGATATTGTTATACTACTAAACACTATACACTAAAACTGTTGCTCTAACGCACCATTATACATGCCTGGACTAAAATTAGACCTTGTTGTGCATGCTTTGGACACAGTAGCTCACACACCACAATATATTATAATAACAAAGAGCAACAATATACATGGTAATAATAATTTGAAATTGAGTAGCAAAAAGTCACAAGAGACTGGTGTCAGATAAGGCATAAATGTACTGTATATGTACAAGTAAACAACCACTACAATAGGACTAAAATTAGAGCTTGTTGTGCATCTTTTGTGTAAGCGCTGTGAGGGAGTTTTTGTATTTTTACAGCTTGTCTCCAACATTACCAAATGCATGTGGCAGGATTAGCACGTCAAAGCAGACCATTACACTCATAATGGTTTCTCAAGTGGCCCAGACAACCCTCACCCTGGTATTTTGGGGTGTAGTAGTTAAAGGGGTGGAGGGGGTGGGGTCTGTCCTGTGCAGAGGTGTGAACAGCTGTGTGTGGTAAAAGGGGCAGAGGTCCCACCCACTCCCCCCTCAAATGACCAGTAGCCCTGCTCCCGGTACCACACAACTGTATGAACCAAGCACAGAGTAGCACAGATGCCTGAAGAGACGCTGTTAAGGCACCAGAGCTGTTTGAATGTTGGGGGTCATGAGGGCAGCTTCTCACTCATGTCTCTCTTTGTTCTCTTTCAGTCCGCTGCGTCTTCAGATGGTGGTGAGTACATTGTCTTTTATTGCAATTATCCAAACGCACAATCCTATACCAAGGCCTGCAAGTGCTCTTTGAGTTCAAGTGTGATTCATTTCTGTCTTTCATTTTGAACATTTTCTTCCTCATCTTTTCTTTTCTTGACTTAGAGGATTCTTAAGCCATTTAGCCACACAATTGCCTCACAAAATAACACATATTGGTTCTCTGTTTCACTATAACCTATTTTGTTTCTTTTTGTGACAGTTATAGATAGGGATGTAACAATAACTCAAATATTGTGATATCGTATTGTCAGTAGTCTCACAAAAATATCGTGGGCCATCACAGTGTATCAAATCACAAGTCTCTTTTGCCTAAATTTGCAGCAATAGCTAAAAAATGGAGGGAACTACATAGACCATGATCCTTTGCTGTTTCAGTGCAGACTGCGAAACAACTGTTATTAAGCTCTTTTAAATCTTAATTATTTGTATTATACAGTAACAGTACTAAAAGCTTTTCAAGGCATTTTAAAAGGAAAAAGTAACATTCACAATTTGGATAGTCTCCACAAAATACTGCAATAAACACTGTACCGTGATATGCATATCGTGAAAGTATTGTATCGAGACATTTGGATATTGTTACATTCTTAGATAGTCTGTTCTAGATAGTGATGGGGTAGACCAACAGAATTATTAAACTAGCATTCCATTTCCTAATTCATGCATACATTTAACTTTATTTGTTTTGACAATTTGAGTTCTTTGATCTGCCAGCACAGTATTTTAAATGACGTTATTGTTTATGTTAAGGACCAACTAATGGAATTATGCAATCTTAAGAAACTACTTATTCATTTCATGCATAGATTTACATTTGAGCCCTTTTATCCATGGTTGAAATCTGCTTTAACTCACACTTAGCCTATTTCCATTTAAACATGCAATGATAATGTGGTTGGAAGCACCCTTAACAAAAGCTGTTTGTGGAGCATGCTTCAGTCTATAGTGTGTGTTAGATTGCATGCTGTCTGCGGCCTTCCCCTTTTTAAGCACCAATATTTGCTAAAAGGGTCATCACCACCACAACTGCTGCTGCAGCTTTGTGCACGCCGGCCTGGCAGACATGTTTGCTTTTCTGGAACTATCCCATTATCTTTGCTGTTCACAACCTGGCTGACAACTCAATTCAAAGGGGAAATGCTCTCAAATAAAACTCCCCGCTCAATAACTGTAATACTCACTGGTTTTAAGGGTCATACGAAGGCCAGAGGTGATGTCATACACTATTTACAGAACCATTATTGCAGCACATCCATCTTGAGTATTATTACATGTCACATATCACTGTTGCTAACCCAGTGTCGCTAACCTCTCTTTTCTGTGGTTAGCCATTAACACCAGTGACCCTTGACAAACTGGCACGAGGCAAGAACGTTATTGTTGAATACCACTGAGATCCTTTTGTTTCTTGTTGTTTTCTGGCACTCGTGGTGTGGTGGGCCACAGTCCTAAAGTGGCCATCTGTTGCAGTGATAACAGGTACAGAGAAGGTCCACACCAAACTAGTGCTGCTTAGTCGTGTCCCGTGTGACTGAATAATACATTTTGTAGTCTAGTAAAGTTTCTCCTTAAGCCCCATTGTGTTTTATATTTTTCTCTATGCTCAAACACAATTCTAGCTCTGTTTTTAGAGAAGAGGTAATTGTTTCCTCCATCCAGTGATTAAGTTGCCAGCAAATAATTTATTTTCCATTTGGCCAAATTCAGATCAAAATGTATTCTGTATTCCGCTCTGATTATTCAATAATATGCTTGTTTTCCTCATGAGCATGTTGCTATTAGTTTGTCTCCTTTGTGACAAAGACGAGTGCAGATGAGTGCACCGGCTGCTCTTTTACCAAAAGAACCATAAATATTCAGAGATGCACTCACTGGAGGCGGTCCCCTCTGGCACAAATTACCCTTTCACTTCAAAGCTCCCTAACCTTTGGCTTTGCCCTCTTTCCTGCAGATTACGGTGGGGTCCAGTTGCAGGGATGCTGCAGCCAGAGCAGCCTGAACAGTAATGGCAGTCTCCCCGGAGCAGGGGGCCAGGAGCAGCGTGTGGCCAGCTGGGCCACGGGCTTCGAACGGCTCCTCCAGGATCCTGTTGGCGTGCGCTACTTTTCGGTAAGATCGTGGAAAACATGAACCTGAATGTAGTCCTGTTTGTATCCCTCTTACACACAAATAACTTGGGGAGAATGGGGAAAGACATTAAAAGCATTAATTACCAAAAGGCAAATAAATAAAGTCTTAGCAAAATGAACTCATTTAAGTTCTCATTGATAATAGAATCACAGGGTCAATGCAGATGAAAAAATAAATCTAATGCATGAATGTATCTGACTCAACAAAATTACAGTTCAGTTTCAGATTTTATTACTAAGCCAAAGTACAAATGTAAAATGTGGGCGCCTCCTACATAAAAGATGGCTTTGAATTTGGCCCTTTTGAAATCATCACCATTAACTTCTTAAACAGCCACCTTCCTCCTCACCTACTCAAACAGTGATCAGCTGGAGCCTACACGCTCCTCTGCCTACGCCAACACAAATTTTGTTCACAGCATTACACCCATCATTTTGTTCAAGAACTGTAATTTGTAAATATTTGTTCACATTTTGTATTGTTTAACTTTTGAATGTCTTTCTACAGGAATTCCTCAAGAAAGAATTCAGTGAGGAGAATATCTTGTTCTGGCAGGCCTGTGAATACTTCAGTCATGTCCCTGCAACGGATAAAAAGCAGGTGAGTGGATACTTAGAGGTACAGGCTATGATTTAGTGCAGTTTCGTAAGTTGTGTCACCTTTGAATCATCAGCACTCATCACCTGCTGAGAGATCTGTTCTCATCTGCTAAAGCTCACTGATCCTTTTAGCTTTACAAATACAAGCTCATTATTGTATCTTGCTAAAATAATTAATTAGTTTTATAGAACAGACCTAGAGTCAGCACATAGTTGCCTTACTTATAAAGCTCACAAAATGGATTCTTGTGAGCCTTAAGCTAGGTAATGTTAGTTTTTATCCTTACTCTGTAGAGACTGACAATTCCAGTGCTGAAATCATCCAAATGATTTTAGTGAAGGTGTGTGGAGTTCAAAAACACTGGTCCTGTATTAATCACATGAAACAAGTGTTTTTTGTTTGAGGATAGAAACCAGCCTAAATATACAGGATTTGTGTTTTAAACACATGTGAATAAAACAAAACACAAATCTGGGTATGTTTGTGATGAGGGAACAACATTATAACAGATCAGAAAGTGGCATAACATGGACCCTTTAAACAGCTCTTCTCTTCCCTACAGTTGTCTCAGAGAGCCGGGGAGATCTACAACAGCTTCCTGTCGAGTAAAGCCACAATGCCGGTCAACATTGACAGTCAGGCTCAGCTCGCTGACGACGTTCTCACCTCGCCACAGCCGGACATGTTCAAAACACAACAGCTGCAGGTGACCACAGTGGATCTTTCACTAATCACTGACGATTAGAAATTATTTATAAAGTGCAGAGTCCTAACCAGTGGTGGAAGAATTACTCAATTTTGTTACTTAAGTAAAAGTACACATACTGACAAAAAAGAATTCTAATGAACGTATCACATGAAAAAATGTATTCAGGTGATAGTTTTAAATACTTGTTTAAAAATGTAATTAGAAAAAAGTATTTTGTGCAGGTTTTGAGGCTTTAAATCCATTTTGATAGATTTGTGCAGAATTTTTGAGTTGTTCCTAGCTGTTTTTATATGTATATATTTGTTTGCTGAATTTATAAACATTTTAAAAATAACCCCTCAGGCTTTGGGTAGGTTTAAAACTATAATAAAAAATACTTTTACTTTTCAGTGCCGTTCAAACATGTAGTGAAGTAGAAAGTACAGATACCTGCTCTCAAATGTAGCAAAGTAAAAGTAAAAAGTATCCCCTTTAAAATTTACGTTAAGTAAAGTACAAATACAGATACCTAACATTTATATTTAAGTGCAGTACTACTTTTACTTTGTTACGTTCCACCACCTTACTTCTTTAAAGTACATTGTATTGAACAGTATGTATTACAGTGCAGAGTTTAGGTATTATTTAGTCACTTGACACCTACCAAGCAAAGAATCATGATTGAGAACAATGCATTTCAGGTAGATTTTATATTTGAAAACGTTGGCGGCATTATACAAATTTGAGAGATTATTGGTTTTATTGTTTATATTTCAAACAGAACTCTGAGTCCAAGCCCATCGCTGGTGGTCTTCTGCCTCCTACTCGTTCATTACAATGTTTTTGATCCGTATCAGAACTGCAGATCAATCCTGGTTTCATGTACAGTGGGGGATTCTCGCTGCAGTGGAGGGCTCTGTTCTCACCAGTCACTTAGCGCCAGCATATTGCCGGTTTTCGGGTGGCCATCTGGGTTTGTTTACGAAAGGGCTTTGAGGCTTTACCAAAGAGATAAACACAAACTGGCACACACCCACTCGCTGCCATGTACAGCCTCAAACATGCATTTAGATCTGTGTATTTTCAAAGCATGCACGTGTTAGAATGGTAACTGTCGCGACACCTGTCATAACACCAGATGTAACCCAAATGTTAGCACCGGATTCCCACTCATCCCTTTAATTCGCACCTTCTCTGCCTTTTACTGTAACGACCACATCTTCTGTCCACAGATTTTTAACCTGATGAAGTTCGACAGCTATTCTCGTTTCCTCAAGTCTTCATTGTATCAAGAATGCGTGCGATCAGAAATAGATGGTCTTCCCTTACCGGACCCATACCAAATTCCCTGTAGCCCAGCTCCCTCCAAACACAGCGCCAGCTCCGACCGCTCCAGTCTTTCCACTCCCAAAAAGGTACTTGCAATGATAACATTTAAACAAACTTAAATTGAGTGCGGAGTGATTTTTGGAAGTCAATAATAATAAGGTTTTTTTTTTCTTTCACACTAAGGAGGCTAGAAAACAGAGGTCGGGGAGGTCACTGAATGAAGACAGCAATGAAAGCGCAGATAAAAAACGTGGTATTTTCTTTTCGTGGTCCCGGAATAGGAGTTTTGGAAAAGGTCCAAAGAAAAAGGACATTGGGGACCTTAACCTTGGTGAGTATCTTTGTGTTTTACTAGATACAAAAATTTCTGTTGTTTTTGAGCCCTTGAACTACTACACACGGCATGCATATACAGCTGCCAGATGCTCATCAGACTGTAACAACTTTTCAGCAAAAACAACTATGATTTTTAAAGTAGCTATAACAGGTTGGATGTCTCATTTTACTAAAACACAATTTAGATAATTGTATTTGTGATTTTGCAATATATATATATATATATATATATATATATATATATATATATATATATATATATATATATATATATATATATATATATACACACACATGTTTCCCATTTTGGCAATTTTTAAAGTTTTCAAAATTTACTTCTGGTTGGAAATCATGGCACCTCACTGGGGGATTTCATAATGTTCCTGAACAAAACTCCCCTAATGTACACAGAAATTATTATCTGACAAATACAAATATTAGAAAACACCTGTATTTTGTTGAAATAATTTTCAGAAGTATCAGAAAAAAATGTTTCTTTTATGTAAAATGTTCCTAACTTTTGGACAGAATTCTTCTTAGTGTGAAGTCATGTTTGAGTGAGTCATGTTTGAACTCTCCACTTCCTGTAATTTTCAACATATTTTCAACTTTTCAACTTTTAAATTGCTTCTTGATTGTGTAAAACTAGAATGTATATTTTCAATAGTTATAATCTAACCAAATTAAATCATAAAACTCTGTCAGCGCACTTTAATGTTTTGTGTTTTTTTTAGACCACTGGGGTAGCAATGGCCGGAGGGAGTCCCAGGGCTCCCTCTCGTCTGGTACAAGCTTAGAGATGGCGACTTCCTGTTCGGCCGGCAAGATTGAGGTAAGATATCTCTAGCTGGAGCACCATGGCAACTGACTGGTGAACTTTTTGTAATAAGCCAGTGTTTCTTATTTATTTGTCTTTTGCGTGCCCACTCACATTTGTTTATAGCATACAGTACATTTACACGAGAGGCTGGAAATCTAGACACAATTACAGCTTGAACCTTAAAGGGCTCATTTTACGCTATTTTCAGTTCTGTGTTCCACTTTGTAATGTCACGTGGTAATACAGGAAGTGCTCCTCTGCGTTTTTAAACTTCACGAAAATTCGTCTATCATTTGTTCATTCGTTTTTCAAAATAAAAACAAAAATAAGAAAAAAAAACAACAATTTTCTTCATTATTTGTCTCCAAAACCAAAATGAAAAAATGGATGACAATAAATTTTTTCAGTTTTCGATTTTGTGTTTAAATGAATAATGGAAAAAACTTATAACGACCGTTCCCTGTTTCCGTCACTTAAACTTCAATGCCGGACTTTTGGGTTGCAAACGGACTGAACCAGGACTAAACCAGGTCTACAAGGACTAAACCGGTCTCAGTCCCAGTCTCAGTCCTGGTTTGGTCCTAGTCTCAGTCCTGATCACCCAATAGTCTACGTAGACACATTTCCGGGCCCATCCCGACACTGCTGATTCAGTCCTGGGATCAGTCTGTATGCGACGCAAAAGTCCATCTTCGCAGTTTAAGTCACGGAAACGAGAAACGAACATTATCATTTTTTTCCTTTTTTCATTTAAACACAAAATCGAAAACTGAAAAAATGAATCGTTATCCGTTTTTTTTTTTCATTTTGGTTTTGGAGACAAATAATGAAGAAAGCTGCTGTTTTTTCATTTTCTTATTTTTGGTTTTATTTTGAAAAACAAATGAACAAATGATACACGGATTTTCATTCACTTTCAGTACAACCTCAAACATGTGGGAATGAAACAAAACACAACTTTAGATATGTTTTTGATGAGGTAACAACATTATAACATGCCTTAAATCTCACAAGCGTCAACTTTGTGTAATATAGGACCTTTAAAACCTATTGCCCACTCTTTCTTGTACCTCTTCATCACCTTTAACTTTTGCGTTTATTACTGTGTCCCTCTGTAGCTGGAGAACCGTCACTCAGTCGGTGTATGGGAACGCTCGCCAAAGCAGTGCAGCGTGATTCTTCCTGACGGCTCCAGCTCCTCCATCACCCTTCGACCCGGAGCCTCCATCAGGGACGTCCTCCAAGATCTCTGTCAAAACATTGGTGTCAACATCGCTGCCGTGGACCTGTTCCTGGTGGGGGGAGAGAAGGTAAACGAGGGAGAGAGGGCGTACGACTGTCACAAGGACACGTCAACCTTCTGTAGTGGATTAAAATGCACTAGCCATGATTTAATTTGATGGTGCTGACATAAATGCCTTAAAAGTATTACGTTTTTATCAGAGGACATTAAATAGAGCCACCATCTCTGTTACTGTTATCACTTTTAGAAGATGTAACTGCTAAAGAAACTTCTAAAGGCATGGCAAAATAGTGTATCATATTTGAAAACCGTGGATATTCATTTAAAGGTGCATTTTGTAATTTTTCAGGTGCAGAGTCTGTCACTTTACTTATACTTTACTTTACTTTATTTCTTTACTTATACTTTACTCCATGGAGATGTTATTGCTCCACCTGAAATGTTTTACAGTATGGTATTAAAGCTTTCTGTCAGACCAAGTTACAGGTCAGATCTGTGGAGAGGCGACACCACTCACAGTCAGACGGTCTGTTTTTCTGGATATTTATTAGCAATAAAAACACCTGTAATTTAATAAATGTCAGGTGCAGCTGTTTAATGTCATTCTGTGGAACATTTCAGGCAGAGCAATCATGTCTCCATGGAGAGAAACATTTGCAGTTACATAATGCACCTTTTGAAATGTATTTTCTGTTTATCAATTTCATTTCATATTTATTATTACTAAAAGGGATAAAATATAAAATGTTATCTTATCAGAAACAGATGTAGAGTAAATTAGCTCATACTGTTACAACTTTTTCTTACATTTTGCACATATTTATGCACCTAATTTTGGTCCTCATTTGTCCCCCAGCCTTTAGTTTTGGACCAGGACTGTATGACCCTCAGCTCCAGAGACCTGCGACTTGAAAAACGAACATTATTTAGGTATTTTTCATCTCCCAGACATTATGTCACGACTCCAGTTAACCCCAGTGCACCTCTTTTAATCTTCAGTTTGTTTTTTTCGGTGTCTTTGTTCTTAGGCTGGACCTTGTTCCCATAAACCGTTCCGTGGGGTTGAAAGCCAAGCCCACCAAACCAGTCACTGAGGTCCTCCGTCCTGTGGTGGCCAAATACGGCCTCCACCTCAGCGAACTGGTGGCCAAAATAGTAAGTCTTTCCCCAGTGGCTTGTAATGCCTTAATCTTTTCTGAAGCTTGTGTGTGTCCCTGGAGTATAGAGTGCCCTGTGTGACAGTGGCTCAGGGCGGGGTGCTATGGTTAGAGTTTGGGAGGCGACCGCATCCTTTTCCATCTCTACACAGTGGTTAGCACAAACTGACTCAACCCAGCCTCTGAAAACACTGCAGCAGGCTATAATTATGCATGACGACACTCTTCAAACATGCCCACTTTTTACTCCTTCCCCTAAATCCTTGCCAGATGATATTTTGGTCCTGTGGCTTTCTAGGGATTATAACTATGGTATAAACTAGTAAAGCCAGACGAAAGATGTTTGGGGAATTAAGGTCAAAATAACACTGTATAGTCACTGTTATGACAAAAGAATGTCTTTTTAACTCTGTGTAAAATCTGTGTTTTTTAGGCTGGGGAGACTGAGCCATTGGACTTGGGTGCACCCATTTCAAGCTTGGATGGTTTGCGTGTTGTTTTAGAGCGTGCAGATCCAGCAGCCTCAGGGAAAGGTACAAGCTAACAGACATTCTAATAACATTCCCCAAGTCAAGTCTTTGCTCTTGTCTTATCTATTTCTAAACCTAATTAATCTCCCTGCCTTCCTTACTTAGATAAATCCAAGTCCTCTTCTCTCAAGAGCCACCCTCCCACCAGAAGCCTCTCTGCTACTGTAAGTACAGCCTTTTATTTAAACCTGACATTTTAATTTCAGATGGGCTTTCTTGTGGCTTTTCTGTTTTTCTGGTCGGTGTGTTTCCTGTTTTATGGTGTTATCTCAGTCTGTGGCTTACACACATTTACTCTCCTCGTCACATACAGATAATTCATAGACAGAAAGAGCATCTTTAGATAAACTCTGAGTCTTTGCTCTGTAGGGTGCATGGCAGCTCATGCTTCTTCTCCTCCACACATACAAACACACACACACACACACACACACATGTCCCTCCATCCCCTAACAGAGAGCATTGTGATTGTTGCATCTGCAGGGAGATGAGAGGTCAACACCAAAGGACTTTGCTTTGAGAGCTGGACCTGACTCCGGACTCCCAGGCGAAAAGAGAAAACAGAAAAAGATTAATATAGATGAAGCCGAAGGTAAATGACACTTTTCATTCTTCTACTTTTGGTACTTTTGCTTTGCTTTGAGACTAACTGGAGTCATTTGTAGCTTTAAAACAGTTGTTTTGTCTTGCTGCATGAAAACTGTCTAACTGCTTCGTAACGGTGCACCACCTGTTTGATGGTCTAACAAGGTGCCAAACACGTTAACATTACAGCATGAGTCTGAGCTGTGTGATGATGTGCGTGATGAGATGTGTGAGTGTGTGTGAGTGTGTGTGAGTGTGTGTGAGTGTGTGTGTGTGTGAGTGTGTGTGTGTGTGTGAGTGTGTGTGAGTGTGTGTGTGTGTGAGTGTGTGAGTGTGTGTGAGTGGTGGAGTAAATGAATAATGCACTGCAAAGCGTCTTCAAAAACATTATATAAATCATATGCATCATTATTATTAGCAAATGAAAATAACAATGTTTACTGTAACGCATTTAAAACAAATGCCCCCCTCAGTATTTTGAGCTTCTGAACTACAGTATTTGAACCTTAGACAAAGTGAATCTGTTTGTGTAACTCTTATTAAACTCTTCTTCTCTCCTCTGCTCCAGAATTCTTCGAGCTGCTGAGCCGTGCACAAAGCTCTCGGGCCAATGATCAACGTGGCCTTCTGAATAAAGATGACCTGGTGCTCCCTGACTTCCTGCGTCTGACCTCTGACCTCTCCTGCTCGACTCCAGAGTCCATCAAATCGCACAGAGAAAACGGTGTCCCATCACGGGCGCCGCTGTCCTCCCGCTCCGAGAGCTTGGACTCCTCCCTTAGCTCCAGTGCCAACGGACTCTCCCGGAGGTGCCTGATGCCCCCGCGCCACACATTCGGCACGCACCTATCCCCCATCCCACGCCCCTCGGACTTACGCTCAGGCCTACGCACAGTGGAGGAGGACGTGCCCACAGACCTGACTCTGGTGGGAGAGGGTGACATCAGTAGCCCCAATAGCACCCTGCTGCCCCCCTCTCCGCCCGCCGTGCCATCCTTCAACACCAGTCTCCCGGAGGCCAATTTCACCCCTCCCCCGCCCTGCTCCAAGCCCGACGCAGAGGGGAAAGCCACTTCAGGTACAACGGTGTAACAAACTGTGCGTGTGTGCTGCATGCATGTATTCCTCAACACTGACAGATGCACTTTAAAAACACAGTATCATGACTGCTAATATTTTTTGTTTTACATAGAAAAGCATGAGTGTGGAACATTTACTTCAAATACTACTGACTTGTGAATAGTGACATGTATATTTTGTTCAGTAAAAATGTGGAAGAGTTTGATGAGGGACAGAGAAAGACAGTTGGCTGTTTGACATGATAATGCAGAAGCTAAAGGTTCACTATGTAACTTTTCGATCGGGCGTCCGTCACTTTATTGTTTCTGTGGATATGTCATTGCTCTGCCTGTAATGTTCCACAGTATGACATAAAACAGCTCTACTTGACATTTATCGATTATAGATAAAACCATCTATAATGGCCGATGTTACCAATAAAAGCAAACATTCTGACGGTGAGTGGGGTTGCCTTTCCACAGTTTTGACCTGTAACTTGGCCAGATTTGGTCTCCATGAAGATAGAAAATGTTCAATCCCAGACAAAGTAATAACATCTCCACAGAGAAAAGCATTTGACGGACGTTACAGAAACGTTACACAATGCACCTTTAAGAGAGGTTCTATACATGTTTAGTATTTGAGAAGAAAAGATTTTTATATTGAGTTTTGCTGTGGCTTTTAACATTATGGTGATGCACAAATTCATGAAACTGTTTTTGAATCGACAAACACAAAATAAATGCCAGATCGTTGCCATAAACAGCCTCAGAACAATTGCTGTACTCCTCTCCATCCCACCTCCTCTGGTTAAGTGCAATTCAACACTGTCAGTGTCACAACAGCGCTCCCTTTACTAAACCACGCGTTATTAAAACAATTTCAAACGCTCACCGCAATTTGAGCTTAAGCGGTGAAAATAATTAGCAGTTTATGTCCAAGTACTGCTTAGTGTGAGTGACATTGTTGAATTGCGCGTCATCTTTTATCTGAGTGATTCACCCTCTCTGTAGATGCCTGTTATAGATAATTATAACTGCCAATGATCTCTGTACCTGTGACTGAGTAGATCTAATAAATGTTAGAATTTGAAATTACTCTTGTCTGTCTTTTTACAAATTGTGATTCGATTTTTAGAATTTCTACCATCCAAAATCATCCTGTGCTTGTCTCTTTATAAATCTTTTCCATCTCTTCCCATACTGGATACTGGTTTTGTCTTGTGGCCTTCTCATCCTCCTCCTCCTCCCTCGCTCCCACTCATTTGTACTTTTGTTGTAAACGCTTGTTACTGGGTGTGCTGCTGGCTGTGGGTTTGTTTAAACATTGTCTTTGCTTCTCTCACAGGCTGCATGCTTTTTAATGGTATTTTTGCACTGGCGTTTGGAGCTGTGTTCTGTCACAGTGGATCTTCGGGGTCTGTCTTGTGTTGGAAGCGTTTGTGTTACAGTTGAATTCTTCCTTTGGTCTATGATAGTCTGTGTTCCCATGTTCACATTTACCAACAATTGTGCTGTAAATAGTGAAATGTTTTGCTATTTACATTTTGTGCATTTATGTAGCTGTACGTTTAGGCAACAACACCTGAAAATAATGAGGTATAGGATATATTTTCTTACATTATTCTTTCATACTCTTGCATGCATGCAACAATATTTATTAATTCACTTAAAGCAAGGTTCTCTTTATACCAAAGGCATGTCATATGTAAATGTTGGGGTCACTCAACATAAATAGTTTTAACATAATTAATGTTTTCACAATACAAAAATGTCATACACTTATTTTCATACTAATGAAGCAGCTTAGTACTAATTTTAATATCATGATAATAATGAAATACACTCTTTTTGGTACTGTATATATAATGTAATTTTAACACAAAACAATTTTAGTTTCTGTAAAATAACTTCATCTTGTTCTGATATAGGTTAAGACCATTCTAAAACCTTTCAATACAGACTCAATTTTGCCAATTTTATGTATTTTTTATGTATTTTTAATGTATTTTTTCAGTATTGAAACAATCAGTACCCGCTTTTTGCACACAGCCCTACAAAGAGGAGAAAACACTGAAAAAACACTAGAGTAAATTTATTTACTGCAGTTGGAGCCCATCAAACTGAAGGCAGTGTGAGCTGTTCAGATGTATAAGTTTGGTTTATTTGTAAGTTTGTTTTTCCATTTGAGAGAATGGTCACACTTTTCAGATTTCATTCATTCACACCAAAGACTATAGACACATTACAATAAAGAGTCACAGTGCTCCAGCGCAGAATAGTTTTGTTCCAGAAATAATTAATCATGATAATAGGTAATTTATATATTTAATATTTAACAGGGCTTTACAAGACAAGGTAATAACATCAATAAATGAACATGTTACTTATTGGTTAACGTAATGGCAGCTGCAACGAATGAAGCTCTTTTTAAAACAATTTGAAGAAGAAAAAAAAAATCTGCATACTAGTGTGCACTTATTTACTGTAGTTGGAGCCTTCAGGTGTCTAATCCCGTGGCTGGGATGATCACTGACAGCTATTGATTTACTATTGGAATTTAAAGATTATAGTTTAAATCAGGGGTGTCAAACACAAATTCACAGAGGGACAAAATGAAAAACTGGGACTAAGTCATGGGCCAAACTTAATATTTATTTAAAAATTTCAACAACATCTGCATTCTCTTCTTTTGAGATATGTAGTGTTAAAGCTGTCTTATTAAAATAAATGATTAATAATAGTTTTGCTGAAACATTGAATCCAGAACAAGCAGAATATAAAATAATAACACAATTTTACCCCCGGGCCTGAGTCTGACATGCCTAGTTTAAAGAGTTTGAGGATGCCTTAAAGGTGCATTGTGGAACTTTTCTGGCAGAGAGTCCATCACCTACTTGTTTCTATGGATATGTCATTGCTCTGCCTGGAATGTTCTGCCGTACGACATTAAACATTTATTCAGCTCTAGCTTAAAAATACCTAGAAAAACAAACATTCTGACTGTGAATGCCATCGCCTCTCCACAGATCTGACCTGTAACTTGGTTTGGTTGGGTTTCCATGAAGATAGAAAGGCACCAAACACCATACTGTGAAACATTCCAGACTAAGCAATAACATCTCCATGGAGAACAGCATTTGACGGGCCCTCCACTAGAAAAGTTACACAATGCAGCTTTAAGCGCTCGGGGAAGTATTACTGTATAAAATATTAAAAGTAAAGTTGTTTTCCTCTAGTATTATATAATAGGCTCACATTTACGGATAGATACCCACACAAGAGGATGCTGAGGAGACTAAAAATCAAAGCTCTTTGCTACGGGCTCACTTCTCGTTGCTAAGTGCATTAAACTGATTCTTCCCACCACCGGGCGCCATGGAAACCTTATCCTCTGAGTTGACTGAGATAGAAACTGTCACTACTGCTTCTCATCTATCTAACAAACCGATTCTCTCTCTCTCTTTCTCCCTCTCTCCTCTCCTCTGCTTTCCTCCCTCCTTCTCTCTCTGTCTGCGCCGGCTCCAAAATAGAAACCAAGAAAAAAAAAAGAAAAGAAAAAGATGATTCAGTGTGCTCTGTATTTTTATCACCACCTTTCCCAAGAACAAGAAGTGAAAATGCAACCAAAAGTTTAACACGCCCCCGAGTTTTTAATAATAAAGTTGTTACAGTAGAAGTCGAGACTAATAAAAAGATTGGTTTTATCGCCGCAGACATCCAACAGCTCAATTTCGTTTCTAAATTTGGCCCGTCAGTCTTGAGCGCGCGTCTTTTCCTTGCACAGATCCTGTTCCTGCGCTTCTCTGCTGAACTGTCGCCCTCTGCTGGGAATAAACAAGCTCATACATCTTTTCAAACAAGCCTAAAATTTAAACTCTTGCCATAAACTCGTCGCGTTGATGAATTACGCACGAAATTACGCACGTAAAACGTAATTATACAGGCGTTTATTCATGCAAATTTCACAACTCCTCATATCAAAATTAGGACTCCAATTAACCAGCAGGCTTTTGGTAATTCCCCTGTTTTTCTCTGGCCTGGCGTTTCTTGTCCTTTTGCATTTGTTTAGCAGATTGGGCGCAAATGAGCTCCTGATTAAGCTGTGCAAATTAAAACCAGACGCAGCAGAAGTGGCGAGCCAAATGGAGGAGAGAAAGCCACGCGTGAGTTTTAATCACGGGTGTAAATTCATCTTCTGGCAAAAGACGGAATAAAAAAAGTTTCTGCAGTGACAAAGTAGGCCACTAGGGGGAGACATTACACAGTTAAAAATCATCAATAGCTGCTAGTTTATGTGCTGGTTAAATGTGACAAGTTTATATCACACAGTTTAGTTTAATAATGCCAATATGAAATGTTTCCCAGAGATTCTTTAGAGACTAGGATTTTAATTTGAGAAATAGCTGGAAAATAAATAGATAATGTTCAAGTTTAAATTTTAATAAGTCCTTTTAAAAGTATCTAATGCGCAACGAATAAAGTGTGATTTAATTTTGTGATGCTATAGTCCAGGTTGTATTTAGATTATGGAGACACCCATTGTTTCCTCTATTAAAGTTGCACTGTGTAACTTTTCTAGTGGAGGGTCCACCACCTGCTCATCTCTATGGTGATGTTATTGCTTTGTCTTGTATGTTCCACAGTATAGCATTAAACAAATTCATCTTGTATTTATTCAATTGCAGGTTTTTTATTTCTCAAATCTACCGCAGAAACATACATTAATAGCTTGAGATGGCCAACTTCTCCACAGATCTGAACTGTAACTTGGCCTGGTAAAATATTTTGAGAAAAACAACAATATATATGGACATGTGATAGTATTAGAAAAACATGTACGGCGAAGTTTATTTGTAATTTTTAAAGACACTTGGTCACCTTAAGAAATAATTTTTAAAAATTACAAAAAAAAAAAAAGAAAGAAAAAAACTTGGCCTGGTTATGTGTCCTTCTTGTCTCCATGGAGATGAGTTAAATTAAATGCCATACTGCAGAACGTTCTAGGAAAAAAACAACA